CCGGACGATTCCGCGTGAGACCCTATCGTCGGTCCTACATGGCGGACGCGCTCGGGCGCCCCATATCCGCCTCATATTTGGGCTGGATATGAGAGGTGCCGGTTAGCCCGGGCGTTTGAGGCCCGTTTAAGAAGCCCGTCTGGATCGCATTTTCGTGACCGGTCAGTGATCAGGGCGTTCGCTGAGGCGTTTGAGACTGCTTTTACAAGCCTTTCTCATAGTTGTATCCAAACGTTACACTTTGAAATGTTTTGCACCAAAGCATAACATGCGCTCCGAGTTTGTGTTCTGCGGAGCATTTAAGCTCGCTACCACTTCTCTGCTCATCTCAGTGGTGTTCGCCAGCCAACGCAAACAGTTGCGCTCTGCACTCGTTTGGATGCTACTTCGCCACACGACAGCAGCGAGCAGCTGGCCTGAGCCCTACACGTCATGTGTGCCCGTGATGCGAAACATGGACATTACGGAAAGAATTAATATCGCAGAACACCAGTCCTTATCTGTGACCAGCACAGCAGCAATCCAATGTTTTTGTACGGTAACTTCTCTTTCCTTACGGTTTGATATACTCCTCTGTACCAAGCAAAAATAGCCAAGAATCTGTAGGCTTACCATGCAGAGGAGGGAGAAACTCATTCCACAGTTGCGCATTTACCGAGCGAACCATGGTTGGATATATGCCTTGCTGCATGAAGAGCCAGGATAGGCCATCCATATATACCTTGCTTGATGCCACCGCCATTGTCGGCGTCCTCCCTCCGTCCTTTATTGCCACTTGCACAGCGCTGCTAGCCGCTGCTATTTATGTCGCTCCACCAGGGCCAGCTACGGTGACCACTGCCCAAGCCTGAGGCTGCGCGGCTCTTCCGCTCCACTTCTTCTGCCTCCCTCTGTTTCTCCCCCGCTCCAACGAGGCACCATCTGATAGGAGGAAGAGAAAGGTCCGGTCACCGCATCGCGTCGCGTGATGGCATTTGGGCTGCCCCGCGCCGCGGCGGCGGTGGTGACGCTGGTGCTCGGCCTCGCCGCGGCGTCGGCCGTGGCGGACGACGTGGAGATGGTGTTCCTGAAAAGCGCGGTGGCCAAAGGAGCAGGTATCCGCGTCACTTCGTTCCGTTCCTTTGCGCCACCATGACATTCTTGCATTCTTGCTATTCGACCGTGGTTAACATTTTCTGTGCACCCCTTGGTCGGCTCCTGGGCGCAGTGTGCCTGGATGGGAGCGCCCCGGTGTACCACTTCTCCCCGGGCTCCGGCTCCGGCGCCAACAACTGGATTGTTCACATGGAGGTAATTAGGCCACTGTAATTGAACTCTTGCTAATATTAGCAACGATGTAAATAGTCTTTTGGAAATGAAACGATCTCTTTTTACTAACATTATTTGGTTGGAAGGGAGGAGGGTGGTGCAAGACCCCTGAGGAGTGTGTGATCCGGAAGGGCAACTTCAGGGGCTCCTCCAAGTTCATGAAGCCACTCTCCTTCTCAGGAATCCTAGGAGGCAGCCAGCAATTCAATCCCGGTATGGCATACACCCTTCTGCCTTGCCCTCATGCAGTCACAACTTCCCCTTCTAAAACAGATCAATGTGGCGGCACCTTTTGCGATTTTCTTGTTGAATCACCCATGATTTTTCTTGCAGATTTCTACAACTGGAACAGAGTCAAGGTCAGATACTGCGACGGCTCGTCGTTTACCGGCGATGTTGAAGAAGTGGACCCTGTATGTTGTGGACTTGGATTGTATGCATTTTCATTTATGTGCAAGACATGTATCCAGATTGACCTCGTGTTTGCAATGCAGAAGACGAACCTGCACTTCAGAGGGGCCAGAGTTTGGGACGCCATCATCGAAGATCTGCTTAACAAGGGGATGAGCAAAGCAAAGAATGTATGTTCACTGCTGGTAACTAGTATCATTTCTTTCTTTTTTGACGTGATGCCGGTTTTATAGGGAAAAAGATGACACGTATTCATTTCAAACTTCAAACTATACCTGCAGTAGTGCATAAATCCTATTTGCAGTTCTTCTTGCATGAACCTTGCAATACTGAAAATTGAGGTGCTGCCTTCATCACACCTTTTCAGGCTATTCTTTCTGGATGCTCAGCCGGAGGTCTATCGGCAATACTGCATTGTGACAAATTCAAAGACCTCCTTCCACCGTCGGCATTCGTAAAATGCGTTTCTGATGCCGGTTATTTTATTGATGGGTAAGTTTCATACTCCTGGTGTTTTATTGGTCATGAGTAGCCATTCATGTCAAGTGATCGTTGTCGTTATCATTGCAGGACGGATATTACCGGCAACAAGTTTGTCAGAACATCCTTTAAGAGCGTTGCAACCCTACATGTACGTCGTCTTCTGACCTTACAGTACTGGCCATATCCTAATGTTATCGGATGCAAGATCTCGCAATCACCAGCTTTATAATTCAGCACTATCTGCATTCTAGACCATTTTCTCAGTGACAATTAAACGCACCTTTTATTTTCACCGGTTCTTCCCCCACTACCATGAGCTTCAATCTTACCTGAATAATAATTTATGAACACTGCATGCAATTTTTCGCCATTTCGAGCCCGATAACCGTTTTAATCTCTTGCAGGGATCGATTAAAAATTTGCCATCTTCATGTACCTCGAGGGTATCACCTGAGCTGGTCAGTATTATTCACTTAAGATTGAGGGGGACGCTCTTCTACTAGCATGTGCACTAACATGAAACAAAAAAAATGTATATGCAGTGCTTCTTCCCGCAGCATGTCCTCCCAACAATGAAAACGCCGCTATTCATACTTAATGCGGCGTATGATTCATGGCAGGTAATTTTCATACCTTTTCCCAGCACTGCACAATGGCAGTAGTGTTTTCTTCTGCAGTATATATGTAATAACAGAGCTGCCAAGTAAAAAAAAGTAAAGATTTGTTCAAGCAATATGTTTCAGCGATGAATAGTACTAGTAACAAGCTGGCGCCTGCATTGCAGATCAGGAACATCCTGGTGCCTAGCGCCGCCGATAAGAAGAAGGAGTGGGCCAAATGCAAGGTTGACATAAAGGGCTGCTCCTCCAGCCAGCTAGTGACCTTACAACGTTAGTGATCTTTCCACCTGGCAATGATCTTCCCGGATGATCCAACTTTGATGTTCATCTGGCTTGTTTGATCATGTCACTTATCTCTGTTGTTTGTCATTTTTGGCACAGATTTCAGGGATGAGTTTCTGTCAGCGCTCCCTAAACCGGAGCAGTCTCCTAAGATAGGCATGTTCATAGACTCGTGCTTCGCTCACTGTCAATCTGGAGCCCAAGACTCGTGGAATGCCGACGGTTCCCCTTCGATTCAGAAGATGGTACGTCTAGCAGTTTTGATATTGGTCCAACAGTTTTCTGACGATTCAGTTTCGAACAATTTTAAATCAAGCGAGATTCGGTGAAAAATGTGCGAAACCCCGGTCGCAGCTTAGCTTATCTATGATCTTTTCATGTCTGTTTGCAGAGAATTGGCAAAGCTGTGGGGGACTGGTACTTCGACCGGGCTGTGTCTCAGCGGGTTGACTGCCCGTATCCCTGCAACCCGTCCTGCATTGACAATGAAGATGACTGAGCAATTGGGTCTGAACTTCATTCTCGAAAAGAAAAAAGAGTGGGTCTGAACTTCAGTTAGATGATGCAGGAATAACATGGATTAGACCACATCCATAGCTACAGGTAGAATAGGTGATTCTTCATAAGATGGTTACTTACCCGTTCTGTGTTTGTTGATGCTTACTGCTACTGAGAATAAAATTGAGGAGTTGTGGTGTGAACTTGCTGCGTGAAATGGTTATTTAGAATTGACAGGAAACCATACTTGCTATTTATTATTTCAGAAAACCAGATCTTTCAAAACTGATAGTCACGGCCCACATGTCATTAGCACATCAAGTGTTTGGGGGGAAGAGGGGGGGGGGGCAATTTTTTTTTCCTAAAAGAGCAAAAGATAACTAGTAGATGTTAGTTTTCTGAGACAGTTATAGAAAATTGTACGGAATAGTTCTCTTTTGTGGGGAAAATAAGATCTAAGACGTTTTACGGTGAGAAACAAGCGAATACTTATGTCGTTTAAATATACGAGGGCATCTTAGTATAAAAATCATAGAAGTAAAATGATCTAATGGTAAGCTACATATGCTAGTCTAATAAAAATAAATAAACTCAAACGAAATAATTGAAATCACACTATTTTTGAAATAAACGGAATTACCTTCTTGAAAATATGAACAAAAAATTGAAATAATGTCTCAAAATAATTAAGATCGCCTTTTGAAATAATTGAATACATTTTTAAATAATGAATTAATTGGAACCACCTTTTTTTAGAAATAATGAATGACTCTTTCGAAAAAAATAGAATAGTTCTTGAAATAATTGTTTTCATATAATTAAAATCATTGTTTTGAAATAGTTGAAAACACTAATTTCAGATGTACAGTTGTGAAGTTACTAAAATAATAGACATAGAATTTGTGAGTGGACTTCACTCGTGTAGAGAATATTATTAGAAATAGTTACTGAAATCACCCATGTATGTTTTTCAAATACTTAAACTTATTGAAATGTTACGAGAAACATATATTTTGGAAATTTTGAATTAGTTCATTTCTCATAATAGCATAAACATCTTTTTTGAATTAATGAAATTCTTTATGTCACTTGTTTCAAATAAATGAAATCACGTTTTTTAAAGAGTTGGTTTTTGAAAAAGAAATAATTGAAATAATGAATTAACGGAAATCAGTTTTTTGCAATGATGAAATTGATTATAACATTTATGTAAAATAGTTGTTATCGCTATTTTGAAATAAATGGTACTACTTTTTGAAAAATAAACATGCCATAATTCATTTTGGAAATAATTGCAATCATACTATCTTGAAGTAAAATAAAAATCACTTTATTTTTGAAAATGAAATAGTTTTTGAAAATAATGGAATAAGTGAAATCATTGTTTTGAAATGATTACATAACATACACTAATAAGGCATGTGTATCCATACACTGCTAAATACGCCACATTATTGATCATCAAATTAGAGCCCTCGGTTTGGGTTCCTTTCCAACGGTTGCCTTCTTTCCTTCCGTCTCTGTCGACCAGCCTGTGAGTTCATCTTCCCACTATCTGCCGCTCAAGCTAGTAGACAGGGGGTTCAAGGGCGCTCCAGGGCGCTAATCCCTCAGGAGTCGGGACACATGTGTTCGAAGACTTTCTGGCTGTCATCAATGTGGTCAGGTCTGCTCCAGTACGAAAACAACGCGTCGGCGGCTCGGTTCTGAGGGCAACAATTGTCGCAAGAATCTCAATGTAATTTTTATTATATTTAAAATGATTTGAACTCCCGCTAAACTTTTATAATATATCCGAGTTTTTTTTGAAGAAAAAAGAACTGTTGCCACTCGGTGGGTGGTGGCTTCGTGGCACTGGGCATCGTACATTCCAAGCCGTGATCCTTCCAGAACCCCGAAGAGACACAGGAGGGAGGGAGGGAGCATTTTGAGTCACGGGTTGAACTGAACCCGTGAAATGCCCTGCCGTTTGTTTAATGGCGGCACGGCTTCGCAACAAAAGGGTCCAAATGCCCTTCACATGCGCTTGTTCCTTGTGATCCTCGGTCCTCCCCGTCCCTTTCTGCTGCTCGTCTTGAGCGAATTGCCCGCATAAACAACAAACTTTGATTTGATGGATCATCATCTCTCACCCACCGCTAGCTAAGGCTTTGGCTGCCCGGCCGGATATAAAGCACGCCGGAGCGAAGGTTTATCAGCTAGCTACTAGCTTCTTCTCAGCTCGCAGCTAGCTCCTCTAAGACACCATGAAGAAGAAGAAGCCAGTGCTGTTTCTTGCGTTGGACGCGCTACTAGTCGCTGCTCTGCTTCTTCCCGGCCAGTGCCAGGGGTCTCAAGGAGCCAACCTCACGGTGACCGGCACCGTGTTCTGCGACGCCTGCTCCTCCAGCTCCTTCTCCAACCACAGCTACTTCCTGCCAGGTTCCAATGTCGTACTACGCATTTCTTCCCTCGAATTTGTCTTGTATTATGCGTTTCAGCAGTTTCCTCCCGTGTTCTGAAGCGACCTACCTTAATTTGTTGGTCAGATGTGAAGGTGAGAATCGACTGCGCGATCAGAGTGAGCTCGGCTTCCAAGGAGGAGATCAAGATCACGGCCGAGAAGACCACCGACAGCCACGGCGCCTACCGGCTCGACATCCCGGCGGTCGCCGGCCTCGGGTGCACCACCGGCGGCGAGGCCGCGTCCTTCTGCCGGGCCGCCGTGCTGGACAACCCCTCGCCGCTCTGCGACGTGCCGGCCGTGACCACCACCGCCGGCCACATCTCCTTCTCGGCCCAGGACCCCGACGCGTGCCTCTACAACCTCAACTCCCTCTACTACCGCCCCGGCAAGAAGGCGGGCCAGTGCGACGGCGCGGGGGCCTCGACGCCGGCGGCCGCGCTGAACACGTCGCTCTTCTACTGCCCGCACTGGCCGTGGCCGCCCATCCCGTTCTGCACGCCCCGCCCCTGGTTCCCGCCCATACCGTTCTTCACGCCGCCGCCGCCGGCGTTCCCCTTTCCTCTCCCGCCATTCCCGTTCTTCACGCCACCGTCACCGCCACCGCCGGCTTTCCCTTTCCCTTTGCCGCCCTGGCCGTGGACGCCACCGGCGTCTCCACCGCCACCATCGTTCCAGTTCCCTCATCTGCCGCCGATTTTCTCGGCACCATCTTCGCCGCCGCCCCCGCCGCCGCCGCCTGCATTCCCGTTCCCTTTGCCGCCGTTTCCACAGCTACCTCCTTTTCCGCATTTTCCGCCTCTGCCATCGTTGTATTCGCCACCGCCTCCTCCGCCACCCCCTCCGCCGCCTTCCTTTCCTTGGCCTTTCCCGCCATTGCCATTCTTGCCTCCAACCGCAAGCCCTTCGGTCCCATCTCCTCCACCTTCAAGGCATTACCGGAAAGATCCGAGCACCTGGTCCTCTTCCAAAACCCAACCATAAATAAAGCAATAATAATAAGTATTTCAAGGAAAGGATTAAAAGTACATAATAGCAATTTATCTGCTCGTGCTAGGGACGGATAGTGGGTGTACTAGGCAGATGGATTCCTTTTCTGTTTGATTCACAGTGTGAGTCCGTGCTTATAATTATAATTATATGTCAGATTGTAAAAAGAAGGATTTCCTCTTTTTGAGATGAAAAGACTCTCTTCAGAGAGAAATGCAGTTTTATTGCGGCTTAATAATACAGAATTACCATTTCCCAGGTTACTGAATTTTTTTCCGGCTCCATTTGAATTTCTATCGCGGTGCGATTCTGGAAACGCTCCTCCTTCACTAGAAAGATGAC